CCTGGATCTGTTTCCTGTCACTAGAATTTTACCTTTTTCAGAATGCCATATAAATGGAATCATCCTGTAATAGCCTTTTGTGTCTAGCTTCATTCTCTTAACAGAAGGCTTTTGAGATTGATCCAAAAGTCCATTCCTTTTTATTGCTGAGCTGTATTTCATAGTATAGATGTGCCATGGTTTGCTTCTTACCCGTTCAGCAGTTGAGGGATGCTTGGGTTGTTTCCAGTTTTGGGCTATTGTGAATAGAGACGCTGTGAACATTTGTGTGCAAGTTCTGTGTGGTCACATGTTTTCATTTCTCCTGGGTAAATAGCTGAGAATAGAATTTCTGGGTTCTGTGATAAATGTAGATTCGCCTGCCGAAATGCTTTCCAGAGTGGCTGTACCGTGCTGAATTCTGATGCGCAATCTATCAGAGTACCACCTTCTTCATGAAGCTACAGCAGCCTCATTATTTCTCAACTTAAGGAGATACTTTTTCTGGAACATGGTTTCAATAGATTTAATAGTTTAAAGCATGCCGTATTGTTTAACATTCAGGTCCCTTGGGTTTTTTCCCGGATTTTAGGTATGACTGTGAAGGGCATCCCGTAAAGAATTTTACTGTACATCTCAGGCTGTTTCTTTAGACAAAATTCCTAAAAGTGGGATTTCTAGGTTAAAGGGTGAGCTTTTCTTTCACCTTTTGACACACATCGGCTTCTTAAATTGTTGTACTAACTTCCGTTAGAATCAGAGCGAGGGGCTTGCCACCCCGTTCCTGCCTGATTTGGAGGGCCTCATCATGTCATGAGGATATTTCTCTTTCCTGTTTCTTATTTTCACCGTTTTTGTTTTGCCCGACGTACTCTGCTTCGGGTATTTTTTTGTTTGTTTTGTTTTGTTTTTGAGACGGAGTTTCGCTCTTGTTACCCAGGCTGGAGGCAATGGCACGATCTCGGCTCACCGCAACCTCCGCCTCCTGGGTTCAGGCAATTCTCCTGCCTCAGCCTCCTGAGTAGCTGGGATTACAGGCACGTACCACCATGCCCAGCTAATTTTTTGTATTTTTAGTAGAGACGGGGTTTCACCATGTTGACCAGGATGGTCTCGATCTCTTGACCTCGTGATCCACCCGCCTCGGCCTCCCAAAGTGCTGGGATTACAGGCGTGAGCCACCGCGCCCGGCTCCTGAATAATATCTTGAAAAATATTTTCCAGCTTGGATTCATTCTCTTCATGACATTCAGGTACACCTATCAAACGTAAATTAGGTCTTTTCACAGAGTCCCATATTTCCTGTACACTTTGCTCATTCCTTTTTACTCTTTCTTCTCTAATCTTGCCTTCTCGTTTCATTTCATTAAGTTGGTCTTTGACCTCTGATATCCTTTCTTCTGCTTGATCAATTCGAGTGTTAAAACCTGTGCATACTTCCCAAAGTTCTCTTATTGTATTCTTCAGTTCCATTAATTCACTTATATTCCTCTCTAAATTGTCCATTCTCTGATTTCGTCAAACCCTTTTTTTTTTTTTTTTTTTTTTTGAGACGGAGTTTCGCTCTTGTTACCCAGGCTGGAGTGCAATGGCGCGATCTCGGCTCACCGCGACCTCCGCCTCCTGGGTTCAGGCAATTCTCCTGCCTCAGCCTCCTGAGTAGCTGGGATTACAGGCACGTGCCACCATGCCCAGCTAATTTTTGTGTTTTTAGTAGAGACGGGGTTTCACCGTGTTGACCAGGATGGTCTTGATCTCTTGACCTCGTGATCCACCCGCCTCGGCCTCCCAAAGTGCTGGGATTACAGGCTTGAGCCACCGCGCCCGGCCATCGCTGGGCATATTTCTAAGGGCCTGGTATAGACAGGAGTAGACCCTGCCCTCACTGGTGCTCAGAGTTGGAAGACAGAGGCCAATTCTAAGGCAGAGGAGGAAGTGTTGCTTCCAGAATTGTGGGGGATGTTCCGGGAAGGCTTTCTGGGGGAGCCTTTGATCTGGGCCCTAACACATGGAAAGACTGAATGGAGATGAGAAGGGGAGTACTTCGCTAAGGGGAAACAGCTTACCTAAAGGCTTGAAGCCAAATGTGGGTACTCGTAGTTTTATCAGAGAGTGTTCAGCTGCAGGGGACAGAATTTCTCACCTACAGGGCTTAGTAATAAAGACATTGGATTCATTTAAAGAAAACTGCAGAGGCAGTTAGTTCCATAGCTTACTGGAGCCCCAGGCTCCTTCCATCTTGTGTGTTTTGGTTTTTGTTCTTAGGCTTTTTGCCTCACAGTTGCAAGATGGCTGCCTTAGCTCCGGTTATTGCATCCTTTCATGGCCTTCAAAGGTTGGAGACAAGAGGGCCAGCCAAGGTGTTAAGAGTCTGCTCCTCTCATGTCTATCTCTTTATACCAGGAGGTCCATTTCTCCCAGCCTTTCTTCATGTTTCATCATTGTTCAGAAGTACATCAGGAGGCAGCCACAGGCCCCCCCCACTTACCATGGGGAGTGGGATTCCCTGACTGGTTTGGGCTTTGAGGGCTGAGCTGTGCAACAGAACTCTCTGTGTTGATGGAAATGGTCCAGGTCTGTGCTGTCCAAATGACAGCCACCAGCCACAGGCGGCCACCGAGCACCCAGAATTTGGTTCATCCGATGGAGGACCGGAATTCCTATTAAAGGTCATTTTCGCTTGTTTAAGTGTGAATGTGTGGTGAGAGGCTGCTGCGGTGGCCAGCCCGGCTCTGGAGGTTGCGCCATGGGCCCCGGCTGGATGAGGTCTGGCTTCTGTTCATGGGGAGAAGGGAGATGTCAGTTGAGGAGGTGACCCAGGCATCTGCCCGCCTGCGAGTAGATGCGGAACCAGGTGAATGTGTGTATGTGGAGGGGAGAGGCGGTAGAGGAGGCTGAGGGGCCGCAGCACCTCTGCTTTCTTCGTAGGGAGGGAGACGGAGAGAACTCACTCCATGCACCGACCAGCACGCCAGGTCTTCGGCTCCACCCTCAGGGCTGCAGAAAGCCCAGCACCCCCTCTGCGGTCTCCAAGGCCCCTCTGGCTCTGATTTTACTCAGCATACAGGCCCCTCTTCAGTTCTTCCCACCTGAGGAGGAGGAACTGACATGACAGCAAATTCCAAAGGCCCTTCCTTCTTCCTCTGAACCCCAGGCCTGGCCGGCTCCCTGCTGGCCACAGGGTCGGGGCTGGAGGAGCCTCTCTTGGGCGTGGTGTCTGGGAAATGCTCCCACGCGCCTGCAGGCAGGGGCCGGTCAGCCCCTTTCGTAGGTGAGGAAGGTGAGCTGGACTCCCTGGCAGGGTGCCGAGCTTTCTGCAGCCCCAGCCAGCCTGGCTTGCCAAACCTCTGGAGTCTGAGCTGGAGGCAGCGCAGGGCCCAGGCCGTAGCTCAGGGCCAAGTCAATGGAAACACCGTTTGGGTGTATTTTTAACCTTGCTGGCTGTGAGCTAAGAGGCTGGCGCTGGTGTCTGCGGTCAGTGAAGATGAATGGCTGGGCTGCTGGGCAGCAGCGTTCGGCATCCCGGCTGAGCAGGTCCCCTGCCTGCCATCCCCCTTGTCACCTACTGTCCTGTGAAGGAGTGGGAGAGGGGCAATGAGCAGGAAACCAGCACCCCTCCTGCCAGTGCCCCTCCTGTCCCTCTGTCCAGCACCTGGACTGTGGAGTGAGGGCTCAGTTAGAATCCTGGCTCTGCCTCTTGCCAGCTGTGTAACCTTGGGCCAGTTACTTTACCTCTCTGTGCCTCTGTTTCCTCATCTACAAAATGGGCATCCTAGCACTGTCTCCTGGGGTGGGTGTGAGCCTGACATCTGTCCATGGCAAATACTCAAAAACAACGACCAACAGCCAGCTCCGGTCCACCAACTTTTTATAGCAACCCACAATGAGCTCCACAATGACTATTCAAGGAGCTACCGTCACCTTCACCTTGTGCTTGGGAAGCCAAGGCACAGAGCGGCAAGTAACCAGTGCGAGGCTCCCGCGCGGGGCTGGTGGGGGCACAGGTCCAAGCCCAGGAGCCCTCTTCCCACAAGGCTGGCCTCTGGCGCCATGGCTCGGTCACTGGCTTCCACGTCCCTGGGATGCTGGGTCCCACTGCTTGTGGGGGCCCCAGGCCCCTCGCCCCTCATCCACTGATCTCTCTCTTTTT